TCTATTTATTGGAAAAATGCATCTCCAGATCTCTAGAATTTATTTTACTGCTTGTAAAAATTAAATAAGTGGCCATAGGCCGTATTGTCCAGGGCAGCCAGCCTCGCAGATAGTCAAAACAGATTTAATATTTCCCATGAAAAACTAGTGAAATGTCAGCTTTGATCTTTTATAAATAGGTCCCATAGTCATTAAATACATTGCTTGTATGATAGCTCTGTCATAAAATATTAGGTTTAATAGCTGTGTTGTTATTGTAGGCATTCAGCCATTTATCACACTATACAGCGTTGTGTAAATGCTGTTATGTGCGCAGTCCTGATAACACTGTAGACATGGAGGATAAATTGCTGTTTTAGTTTGGCGCTTACTACATCGAGACATATGCAACTTTATAAATGTATAGCCACTAGTTTGCTAAGAGAGCTGCTATTAAAGTAAATTACCTATTTTTAAGCTAAGCACTAAAACAAATAAGAAGCAATGTTACTCACAATAAAGAAAGCATTACAGTAGTAGTATATATTCCCACTGCAAATGGTATATGCTAACAGGTCAGGGCTTGGAATGGCAGCCCAGAGGACTGGCACATCATAAGAGGATAAAGCACCCCTTTTTAAAAAGCATTTAGGTGAATCTACTAGCAGGAGCCTATAATCTGGAATTGTGAATAGAAATGAAGATGCTGTTATCCAGAATCAACTGGGATATGGACAATATCCCAATTTTAACCAATTTTAGTAGCAGTCTTATAATATTTGAAGAAAGTACACGCGGTAAGCATACATGGCAAAACTCACATTGGTTGAACATGACTGACCAAAACATGCAACGCACCAACCATATTCAGGAGCTTATCAGAACTTTAGGGTGCTTAAGATAAAATATTTTTGAAGTGAACTATTGCCTTTTACAGCTGAATGCTTGACCAGGTAGCTCATCAATGATCAATGCAGTCACCCTCTCCCCTGAATGCAGTGTGATATATTTGCACTTTGGTGAAGATATGGGAATTTCTGCTTCTACATTCATGAATGTTATAAGCATACATTGTGTAGCAATTTGAACTTCTGACTTAGTCATTTATAGAGCAAAGGAAGTCAGCAGATAGAGCCATTTAGATTATGTTTTATAGGGAATATACAGCCTTTTTAATGATTTTTAGGTATACATGTAAAAAGAGCTTAATGTAAAATTTAGGGCTGCAACAACTAATCGACAATCGATTATAATAGATTATTGAAAAGGTTGTCAACTTTTTCAATCATCGATTAATCGGCTTCTGGTTAGTTGGCCCTGTTCACGGCTCCACACACGTTGTGTGCCGTACCTCCTCCCCACCTCACGCTCTCCGCTGCCAGAACCGCCCGCATCCACACGCCGCACCTCCTCCCCGCCTCACGCTCACCGCCCTCCCACATCCACGATCGGCACAGGGACGCGGGGAGAAGAAGTAAGGAGGAGCAGGTGTGGGGCGATGACAATCGCCGGTAGACAGGCCCTATCTCAGAAGCAAGTTGCTGGAAGACTGCTCAGGTAAGCCTGCACTCCCCCCCCACATGGTGCTCTATAATGCAGGGGGTGTGGAATTTTTAGAAAAAACTACTTGTCCAAGGACTAAAGCGGGGGCCGAATCTACTTGTCCCTCATGACAATCTACTTGTCCTAATACAAAAAAAATAATTTTAACCAAAACCGTATTTAGCAGTGCTAAGAAGCACTTCTCATTGGTCAGTGCTGTCAGGTGACTGCGTTGACCAACGAGTGCTTGCAATTTGCAAGCGAAATTCAGAATACATGGAACAGGTACAGATAGTACACCCGTACTGGTGGACGGGAAGGGCCATTCGCCGAAAGGTAAGTATAGTGGGAGGGAGATTTGTGCGGGTAATTCCATTTTCCTAAATTACTTGGGAAAGTGATTATACACTTTAGGGTTGGTGCAGATTTGGGGATTCCCAGGACGTGCTATCGTGTGTGGTGGCATACAGCGGTTGCATCAGCATGTATGGGGTTACATCTGCGTGGCAATCGCTGAAAAAAAGGTAGATGTACCTATTTTCACGACATGCACCACGCAGTGTTTTCAACCGTGATCATGTGGAATTGCCCAGGCGGTATTGCAGCAGGAAAACGCGCAATCTGCCTGGCACGACTCGGGTGCCATTATAATGGCACTGACAGCACGATCGGCGGTGGTGTGCGATTCCGTGACCACCCAGCCATCCGCTCGGTTTCTTGCACGATTTCCGGGCAGTCACGGATCGCACACCCCTGCCGATCGCGCTGGCAGTGCCATTATTTTCTAATGACACCCCAGTCATGTCAGGCAGATTGCGCGTTTTTCTTGATGCAATACCGCCCTGCCCGAGCAGTTGCACACGATTGCAGTTGAAAACACTGCGCATTTATTCGCATGCAGATGGGGCAGCGGGGCTGGTTTTCATTTTTTAAATTTTTATTTACTTTGTAAAAAATTTTCATTTGTTTTATTATTTTTCCTTAATCGCCTTTTTATTTAGTTACATTTTTAATTATTATTTTTTACTTTTTCATTTTAACTATTTTTACAAACAACTTAACTGTATTGCTATCACACAGCACAGATAATAATAATCCTGTGTGATAGCATTTGGAAGTGACAGGTACTCTTTATTGACCCTGTCACCTCCAACACGGGAGTTCTAGCACCGCACTTTTGCTAGAACTCCTGTGATAGGAACGAGCAGCGGCCGCCGGGTACAGAGGCTGAGGGAGGTGACAGAGCCTGTCACAGCTCCACTGTCCGGCTTTGTCACTGCTCCACGCCCCCTGCCACGTCACGGCTCCACGCCCTCCGCTCCATCCCCAGTTCTCAGCGCTCCGTCCCCGCTCCGTCAACGCACCCCGCTCTCGGTGCTCCACGCCCCCCGCTCGCAGCGCCGCTCTCGGCGCTCATTTAAGAAAAAAAACCCCGCCCTGCTACTTGTCCGTAGCAGGGCTAAAATAGTGACAAAACAACTTGCCCGGAACTACATGTCCTGGGCGTCGGGCGATATGAATTCCACACCCCTGTAATGTATTGCTGGGATTTGTATTCCTCTATAGCTGATGGTACATTGTGCTGTATATTATACAGAGGACTACACTGTATGTATAATGTACTATTGCTGAGATTTGTTGTATCCCTCTATAGCTGGTGGTATTCTGCATTGCGCTGTATAGAGGACTACAAATCCCAGCAATAGTACATTATACAGTGCAGTACAGAGCATTTCGCTGTATAATATATTATTGCTGGGATTTGTTGTACTCCTCTGTAGCTGGTGGTATTCTGTATTGTGCTGTATAATGTACTATTGCTGGGATTTGTAGTCCTCTATAGCCGGTGCCATTCTGCATTCATTGCTATATAATTTTACACTTTTCATTTCACTATATTGCACACCACACTTTTTTTTTTCTTATTTACTTCTACCGCTCCAAGCTTGCTCCTTTGATGGACTACAATCTCAATACAAACTAGTAGTCCCATCACTGGAGCCGTTTTTTATAATGGATTTTATTTTATTTTTTTAACCGATTAATCGAACTCAATAATCGGCTAACCGGTTTTGAAAATAATCGTTAGCTGCAGCTCTAGTAAAATTGTGTGTGCTAGATTCTATTTACATTTTGTCAATGTTTACTGTGTGTGTGTCTGTGTGTGTTGTATGTACTCACGGACCTAAAACTTGCACTGTAAAAACCTCAATGACTGTGCTTTTATTGCTGCTTCTTCTTACAATACAAACCTGAGTAGGTTGATTGATAAAAATAACAATGTGCTAAACGCTACATGTAATGCAATAACAAAACTATAGATACCCAAGAATACAATCATGTAAAAATCATATAAGAATTACGTTAACGCTGAAATACAAAAAAAAAAATAGCTCAACATATGTATGAGCAGTAATTACACCATACCTATCTACTTTATTAGGAAAAAACTTGAATATAAACAGTCCACATTTTCATGCATAATTCATAAGGGTCAACCTTTTCAAATTATTGAAATTGTTTGTCACATTTTGCATTAACTGTTTTATAATTAACATTTCTTCAGACAGTAGAATCCTCTCTATGCATGCTTGACTATCTGACGTTATTTCCAGAGTAGGTCTGTTATAACATACCTGTTTGCGGTGTCATCCTTGTTAGCAGATTGTGCACAGTCTCCATCAGATCATGCTGTTGTTTCTGCAGCATAGAGTTATTTGACGATGCTGTCATCAGCTGCTTCTCTAAATCTTCAATAATGGAATTTTGTCTGAGTACTAAGGTTTGCAGTTTATCTTTTTCTTCCTTCATTGACTGGAGTTGCCGGGTGTGTTTATCTTCCATACTTAGCACTTTATTTTCTAAATGGCTACAAACATATGCAAGTTAGCATGTCATTTTTAACAATTACATAGTATTGTATATTGTAGTACAATAACAGGACTGATCAATGCTCTGTTGCGGAAAAGCATTCAAATATTTTAACACTGAATCTCAATTCAATAAATTTGATTTATGGGATTATATTATATTACATACACATGTTTTCCAGCATTTGTTATAAAGTAAATCAAATCCTTGTATATTGATTTGGCAGTTCTTAAGTGCTGATTTTATGCACTAAAATTAATTTCACACCATTGTCGGGGGGAGTTTTGGGATTTCTCAAAGGGGTAACAAATACACAAAAAAGTTTCATTTGCACATTATACAAGAACTAATATATATTTTATTTATTTTTCAATGTTGCTCTATGTTTTTAACCACTTGAAGACCGCGGTGTTTCACCATTTTTCAGTGTTCAGCGCTGCTGTACTTTGGCTGACGTTTATTCCGTCATGCAACGCTGTACTGAAATTAATTTTATACCATTTTTTGGGGACAGATAGAGCTTTCTTTTGGTGGTATTTAATCACCGCTGGGGTTTTTATTTTTTACTATATAACAAAAAAGTACCCTAAATTTTGTGAAAAAAACATGTTTCCCTATAAAATGTTATAAAACATTTATTTTCACCCCAATTTTTTGATATAATATAAAAGACGGGGTCACGTCGGGTCAATAGACACTAAATATGCCAACCTTTAAAAGTGCGCGCGCCCGCGAAATCGCAGAAAACGACCGCAACCAAAATTGGCCATAGGCGACACTTTAAACGTTTTTACCGCTCATCAGTTTAGTGTTATCAGTGATTGATGGCCCTAAAATTATTGCTCTCACTCCGACGTTTGCGGCGATATGTAACATGTGCTGCATAATAGGCGCAATCGTCGTTTTCGTACATAGGCGCAACCGACGCATGTTTGTATGTGGGGGGGCGGGGGACTTTAAAACATTTTTTATGTCATTTTTTTTATTATTATTTGTGAATATTTTTTTAGCTTTATTTTTTTTAATGCTGTAATTTTTTTTTTTTTTACTTTTTTTAGACAACTTTATTGCTATAACATAGGGGATTAAGAAATCCCCTATGTAATAGCCAGTTCACCAAACAGGTCCTCTTTATGGAGACATCAGGGGTCTCCAAGACCTCTGATGTCACCTAGGGACCCCCACAGAAGCTGATGAAGCAGAGATCTGCTTCATCAGCTTCTCTCCGGTGTTCTGCACCGGAGAGTGACACTGAATGCAGGAAGTGATGTAATATACATCACTTCCTGCATTCGGGGACAGGAAGAGAGATCAAAGGGAAATCGAGTAATGATCTCCCTTTGATCTGCTGTTAGAGCGTCGCCGTGCCGGTCCCAGCCGCACCGGCCACATCGGATCACGGACCGGCAGCGGCGACGAGGAGACGGCGGGACATAGGTACGGGGGGGGGGCGCACACCCGCAACTCCTGCAAGCGATCGGGCGTCTCTAGAGACGCCTGATCGCTTGTATGTAAACAGCCATCGCTGGCTGTTTACATGCTCACAGTTTTCCCTCTCGTGTGCGCGCTGAGTGCCGCACACGAGAGGGGGGAGGGGCAGGACGTCTTAAGACGCCCTCCCGCTCCTAGCAGACGTCCGTCCGGCCGTTCACAAACGGCCATGGACGGAAGGTAGTTAATATTGTTGTAAAGTCATAAATTATATAATCGTATTTTTTTGTGTATGCCTGGGACCCTGAAAGTCACATATCTTTATAAAATGGGTGTACTGCTTTGGTTGGGCATGTGGTGCCTTTATCATCAGCTAATCCAATGTTTTTAGGGAAATACCTTAAAAACCCACGGATGTCTCTTTACATTTGAGACAGTTAGTAACTAAACAAAATAGTTGTTTTGCTGTTAATAAAAAAAAAATGTTCTACCTTTTTCTGATTATTAAAACTGCTTATATGTGGTGGGCCTCATATATCAAAATTGCTCATGTAAAGTTTGTACATATGAGAACCTTTTTTTTTTTCCAGCTCCACTGAACAGAGCCCATATCTCTTTGTTTGTCCGGTATATATTAGAGTTCTGTGTTTTACACACTGAGATCTTTTCAGTAATGCTGAAAAGCCAAAGTATCTTAAGATCTAATTTAACATTAATTTGCTGTACCATTGGTAAATTCCAGCAGCCGTTTTATTGATTAGTTTCACTCAAGCTCCATTGTGTTGCACATTCTAGTGTTTTATTCTTTAAGCATTAGAAGGTGACAAAAGGCATGTCAGTTGTCTGTTCAGCCAGCGTAGGGTATTTATTACATTCTATTTATAACAGATGTAGCTACTGGAATGTTAAAAATCTCCACTAACCTAATACATATGGAAGTGTAGATAACATGGTTTAACCCTGGCATCAGGAGTGTGGCTTTACAAGCTAATGCTGATTAAGTCAGCATTATTATCACATCTTTATTTTGTCAAGTTGTATTTATTTCAGAGGTGGATTGCTACCTCCTCCAGCAGTGGTATGTAGTAATGACAAATAGGGGTTACGTGAGCTAAATGATGATACTCCGGGGAATGCAGGTACATACACAATAGATGCTCACATATGTTTGATGGTTTAGAGAAGTAAATAGAGGGGATGTAAAGGGAAGGCTGACAAGGAGAATGGGTGCAATTATTTTTCCAAGCTGCACAACCAATCAGCTTTCATTTTTTATTCATTACAGGCATTAAACAGATTCTGGTTACTTTTTGTGCAGATTTGATCTATTATGTCCACAAAATTCCGTGTTCAAAGCACACCCTATATAGCTGTGTAAAGCTTTTTAATTGATTACACTGATGTCTATATCATCACTCAAAAGAGTTCATGCTACCTGTCTCACACAGCTAGACACAGTGCAAATTATGATGGAGGCACTCTGTGTTGTTTTCCCCCAAACTACCTGTGATTTTTAAATATGTAGGTGATAAGCCATAGGCCAGTGAGCAGAGATTGTCACTACAGCCAAAGGACCCCAGTGCTGCCTACAGAAAGATGTATTCAGTACCTGTACTTTAAAGGAAAATTGTGCTGAGAAAAAATGTGGGTGAGTAACTCAGAAAGTCATAAGCGGTTAGATCAGCATGACAGCCAGGGAACTAGTATTTTCAGAAGGAAATGTCAGTTATTCCTAACTACACTTTTCTCTCAGAACAGGCTTCAGTTCATTATAAATAATAATATACAAAGGATAGACTAGTGGGGGTTACTCGGACCCTCAGGCTTCTGCGGATTGTGTTCTTGCTAAAATAAGTCCATCCATACAGCTATAGAATGGATGAGCTACAGTGGTGCTGAAAACGAAATTCCTGAACTTGATAAAATTGGAGGTACACTTTTATTTGAAAGACAAACACTGTTAGCTGCTGCCTGTTTAAATATGAATTAATTATTTGCACATTAGTCATCTATCTATCTATCTATCTATCTATCTATCTATCTATCTATCTATCTATCTATCTATCTATCTATGTGCTTGTGTGTGTTACTATCTTTTCTTCAGACTAGCTGTGTTTGTAATATTTTTGTTCAATCAGAAAATAATTTCTGTTTCAGAACTTCATAAAACTTTTCAGGTTGTCCTGTTCCTCTGTAAGAACAAATCTAGGTTAATGCACTCCAGTTTATGTTTACAGTGCAGTCTAGTCATCTTTTCTCTCTCACAGCACATAAATATTCCAGACACTGGACGGGATGCATCAGACAGAGTGAGAGAATAATGTCATTGTGTCTCTGGAAATGATTTTTATCTCCGTCCTGAGGAAGAACCCCTGAACTCTGGCACAATTGCTGTTTTATGAAAACAGATGGTATTTCCTCTATTGATCACTGGGGAAATGAGCATGCTCACTGTAATAATCACCTTGTTAAAAACATTGTGTTGGGCTGTTTGCGCTCCAGGAGTGCTCAAGTAATAGAAGTGTTATCCAACATTATGCTGCGGTGTTCAAAACAAGTGTCGGAGTTTGTCAGAATTATGCTGGAAAAGTTAAAAAAAAACACTTTGGTGGCTGCTTAACCCTTCAATGACAGTAAAGCCAACCTTAACACCAAAACCTACTTTTGCACCATTGGCATGTTAGTAAAACTGTACATAAATTGGCAACTACTAGGTGAATATCTTGTTTTTTTTTCAGGACAAATTGGGCCTTCATTTTTGTGCTGGTAAACACTGCATATATGGGTTATGGTGTCATAAAGGGGTTATGTTACATGATGAAGCATTATTATTATTATACAGGATTTATATAGCGCCAACAGTTTGTGCAGCATTTTCTGTAGTTATTCTTATTTAGGCAATACATCCATAAACAACAAAGGAGTATTCATCCAATATTTCAATTGAATTTAGTGTCAACTGAATTGTAACAAGTTTGTTTCAAGTCTAAAAGCTTTCAAAACATCGCTCAAAGAGTGCATGTGTTCCCATTTACTTAAAGTGCATTAAAATCCGAAATGTTCTTTTTAGATTTAGATGGAGTATTGAGGGGTTAGAACCCCTTTCAGGTTGTTATTGCTGTCTGTGTCTCTGCTGGGGAAATTTGTCACCAGAACAGTAATAGTGGGTAAAACACATGATCCGTGACAAGTGACTAAAGAGATATTTACCTCACCTTGGAAAGATTTTTTCTCATGCCCTGATGTGTCTACAAGACAGGAAATGAAGGCAGATCTCCCAAATGGGACACAGATTGCAAAAGACAGGCTTTGCTTATAGATATACTTTGACACTATTTACACACATACTACACAGGATTTTTTTCTTTAGTATTATTGTTTTACGAAGAGACGTACCTGTTTTTGTCTTGTAATTTTGTTATCTCATTTGTTTGATCAGATATTTGTCTTTCTAGTTTATTTGTTGAAAAGGAGTGTTCCAAAAGCTGAAGCTCCAGGCGGCTTGTTTGGTTGAATACCTGTTTAGAAGGAAACTAGATTATTTTAACTATACCATATGTGTCATTAACCAATATGTCTGGTCATGTAATGGGAAAAAGTAGTGGAAATCAGTTCACTTTGCTGTTGCTTATGGACACTGTGGGTTGTGTAGGTAATCCTCTGTAATACTGCATTAAACACACATTAAAACAGGGAACCCATCATAAATTACACATTAAAGTGGACCTTTATCCCCTTTGACTAAAAATCACCTCAGCATTCAGCTCTGCATGCCGATATGAAATCATCTCACATTCATTAGCTAAACAAACATATTTTTATTTTACTTACATTTTTTTTCTACTTCCTCGGCTACAAATGATGTAATTGTGCCCAAGTGTTGCACCCTGGGAAGTTTACATCAGCAAGGTCATGCTGGGAAATTTCATCTGTAGTCTCATGAGATCTCTTTTCTCCCCTGAGATAATGTGCACGGTCACATGTCCTGGTCACATGTCCTAGTCACATGTCTAGTCACATGTGCTAGAGTTCTGGGAAATAATGGCAGATCTAGTAACTAGTAAAATGGCCACTGCGAGAAGAATGGGGAGGGGAAAAAAATAAACTATGCAGAAAATAAGAAAACCTGCAATTATCTAGAGATATCTGTTTTGTAGATTGTCATTACTAAATATTTCTAGAGGGTTTATTTGAGGATATGGGTCTTTAAACACATTCTGGGTATTTAAAGTAGTCTATTTAAAGTAATGCAATTATGGCTGAAATCTCCTTGGTAGTGGAACAGGTGTCCCCTTTGGAAGAGTTGCCCTAAACTGTTCTGGTGACAACTCTAAAACTAAGCCTTTCCCCAGACTTTTTTTTTTCTCTTGGACAGTGCTCAAAAGTACAAATAGAGAGGGTGATTTTCCCCAACAATTACACAGCACTAAAAACTTGACAAATGGTCTAACCCCCTCTACATTCTATCCAAGCGTTTTCCTTTCTATACAGTTTAAGTAACAGTTGGTATAATGCTTTGTGCCTGTGATGTCATGTGTATGGATTGGAGGCGGCATGGTCAGGCATGTTCTTGGCTGCCTCTAGTCTGTGTTCCTGATGTCACACCTGCCCACCACTGGTCGTAGCAGAGTCCCCTAGAGAAGAAGGCACTGTGTCATGTCATGTAGTGTTAAGCCCCAAGTAGGGTTTTATATCTTAGTCAGGTTCAGAACAAATCTGTTGGATTAAAAAGAAACTCATTCTCAGTATACCCTGTCAGACGGAATAGCTGAAATTTACAAATCCAGTAATGTCCTACTAGTTGGCAATGCAAAAATATAACATTAAAGACTGATACCGCACTTGAACATTTTTAAAGTATGTAATATTACAACCTCTTTCAGTGCTGTCATTGTTTTCTGAGACATTTGTTTTCTGGTGAGATCACACTAAGGAATGTTATTTATTTAATTGATGTCAATCTCTCGGAAGGAAGACAATACTTTGGATGTTTGCAGAATTTGCCTCATCATGCCGCACGCCGTTCAGACAATACTATTTGTGTAACTATTACATGTACTTCTTTCATCTGGGGCTTGTATCTGTTGACAGGAAGAACTCATTACTCATTTCCGTCAAGTTAAATATTACTTGAGGATATGATTTCACATCGTAATGTCCTCGAAAGGGCAAACTTTTTTTTTCTTTCTGGTTGGAATCAGTTGTTTGTGTATCAGTGTAAAATTATTATTGGAGTGACAGTTTGATTAAAGTTTGAATGTAAGGACACATTCACACTTCTGCTCTTTAAAATACATGTGTTTTCAATATGCATTTTCAAGCCCATTTGTACATGTACATGCAGTATAATGCATGTATAGTACATATTGCATTTGGTACCATTTATCCCTGTCAATAATGAAATTGCTTGAAACCACACCTAAACGGAATCAAGTAAAACTTAAAAAAACACACTACTGATGAATTATTCATCTGAAAATAGTAGATAATTCTTCTTGTGCTTTAGGTACAGTTTACGGTACATAAAAGCATGCCTAAAGCATTTAATTATCATTGGGACTCATCATTCATTGTAAACCTTCAAGACAACCAGTGCACCTAAAGATAACTATTGAAATATAACTTTAAGGTTCTTCTATTTGTAAATAGTCTTCCTCAAATTTCATTGGCACTCTGTATGATTAGACCATCACTGTATAGTGCACCAATGTATCCCAATGCGGTTTCCAGGGGCCAACTTGATTTCACACTACAGACAGTGTTTTCCCTACTTCCATTCTTTTTGCCAATAGAAGTAGGGAATCGTGTTTTGTGGAGCTCTTCTTCAGGAGTATTCATTGTAAACACTGAATGGATGGCTGCTGCAATGTTTGTTACTGGCAAGGAAGATGACCACCGAATCAGTGGTATTGCTGGTATAATTGAAAAGCTCCTCTGCTTCTACAAATGGATATTGTGGTCTTTTAGTTGCTGTCCTTAGCACTTCTCTGTTATTTCATAGTATAATTATTTTTTTTTACTTTTTATTCCTTAGAGTAGTTATTGAATTATTTATTTAAGACTTTACTGGGTTTTTTTTTTTTTTTGCACGTATAGTTGCAAATCTCTAATATGGAAAAAATATAAGTTTGTCTGACAATAAAGGACCAAATGTTCTCTTGACTTTTCGTTTCCAGCACTGAACTCTACCTATGTTAGGGATATATGGCAACATTTAGCTACGCTGATTTATAGAGAACAGATCTGCTTTAGTCTGGCAAGCATGAAAACAAAAGTCTGATCCAGAGATTTATAGAGCATTTTAAAGACCTTGTTGCTTCCTGTGCAGTTGGATGGCAGACATATTTTACATAAAAATCACAAAGTTTACACAACCTGGCTTGGCAAAAAAATTTTCTTTGACATATAAGGAAAATGTGTTTGTTTTCACTGTGAGTAATAATGTGGTGTTAGCAACAAACACAAAGCCCAATATGTCAGAGAGTAATTTGTATCATCTATGTTTACCTGGGCTTCAACATCTGTCAGTTTTCTTGTCTGCTCTGCAGTTTGGTTCAGCAGGTTTGTCCCTATTTCAATCATAAAAGCGGTATGGTTTTGCACTGCATGCTTCTGCATCTCCACCATCTCCTTTTTCATATTGTCTTGGATATAGCTCTCAAGCTGCAAAACAAACATAAAGTACATCAATTTATATACAATTCTTGTAAGCAGATGTTGCAAAAGATTCTTAGTACTCTAGGATGAATTGTGTTTTGAAGTGCAAATCCAGTCAACACGTGAAACCATTCATTCAACTACTAATCTATCCAGGATACACTGCACCTGTACTAGAATCAGAAATACCCTACCCTAAATTATCTGTAATTTACCGTGGCCATTGGTAGCTATGAAAATGCCTTAATACTGACATTTCTTTTTCATCAAGCTTTTATTTGTACAAGAGAGCAAGCAAAAAGGGTATAGTGTCCTGCATTATAAACCATTCCCTCAGATGAGGCTCATGCATATGGATATATTGCAAAGAAAATAAAGGTGTATTTTTCATCGAGCGTAAAATACACCTGCATTTGTGGGACAGGGAGCAGCAGCTGCTAAGGTTTTCTGTCCAAAGGAATGTATGGACAGAAAAACCTGTATGTCCACAAATGCCAACGTCGGCACATGGGAGTAAGTTACTGAACGTGGAAAGGGTATGATGTGGACTGGTGTGCTACATCAATGTGTGAATCAGTAATGATGAGTAGGTAAAATATACATTGATGCTCTGTATGCATCATTAGACTTATGAGTCAATCCAGTATCTATAAGAAACTCTGCTGACCTTATCTCTTTCTGATTGCCCTAACCCCACATTGAAGCAGATTCTATCTAAGAATTTACTAACTGATCACATAAAATTATAATCAGGAAGGTGGAGAGATAAGAAGAGGAGTGCACTGTACCTGCTGGAATGTTGGAGGTCATGTTCATTTCAAGGCTTAGTTTTTCTGTTTTACAAACTTTAAGAATTTTTTTAAAGAACTGCAAGTAGCTACACCTGTCCGGTCGTGAGTAGACTTAGGGTAGAAGTTTATAACGTCATCTGTACGTTAATTTACACAAAGATCTATTTGAAGAACTGCTTCATAAACCTATTCCCACTCTATTTTGCTTGACTGTACACTAGTTCTCCAATTCTTCACTGCCACCAAACTGATTTTTGCCAAAACACCCACCCCAGACTTTTGAGCTATTAATAAGCATTTATAACACAGGAAGTCACCTTTATCTAAGCAATCTGCAATGTGTCAAGGCAGATATTGATTATTCAAGAAGGATGGGAGGTGTGAAATTTGTTCTAATTACATAACCCCAACCCTTGGTAACAGAAAGTCTGCATAGGTGTTAATCATTTTATTTACATGGTGTCAATTGTAAAATTGCCTGGGTGGAAATGTTAAAATTGTAGTCAGTAAAACTTGAGCTTTAATCAAACTTCTGCTTTTCCCATGCGGGAAAATATTTAGCACTGATTAGGCAGAAGCCAACAAGGAGGCCTGTAGGACCGAAGAAGGTCTTGTTCTTGCCTCTGCTCATGGAAGCATTTAGATAAATAATATGAGACAAAAAAAACAAAATGGCAGCAAATTGTGCATACTGCAGACTTAGTCCATGTCACTACAAGTCTTCTAACGTTTTAGTGCAGTTTCATACAGGAGTCAGACTCTGGCTTTAGAAGTATAAGCAACAGGTTTGCTTTCATTCCCCCCTTCCTTCCCCAGCAGTTTATACTTGTCTTTCCTCCATGCCTTTGCTGGTCTGTTTAGTCAGTGGGATACAAGAAAATACCTGGTATTTCTCGGTGTGCAAGAGCATGTACATTATTCTGTGAGTTATTGGTGACAGCATTGGTAATTGGTCCGTGCTGTCAAATGTGGGCAGGAAGAGTTTTCAGGCCTGTGTAAGTGCCAGCTGGAACAACTCAGAGCTTACACAGGACTTTTGAAGGAAAAGTGAGTATGTGCAGCAGAGGAGGGGGGCATTAAAGTGAACACATTCACTTAACTCATTTCCTAATTGCTTCTTTTAGTTTTACTAATTAGTGTTTTTTTTTTTATAATTTGCTTTCTGTGGTAAGGCATATGCTTTTGGTGGGTTTACTTGGTTAAATGTGCACCTAATACATTGTTGCTATACATGTTTTTATTTTGTCTGCTTTATTCAATTTATTTTCCTTGTTAACACAGAAACGTACAATGCCAAGGCATAAAACATCACATAGTATGCAACCTAATGGACAGAAAAGGGAGTTTTAAGTGCTAAAGTTTTGTTGTTGCTCTACTGTAATCTACCACTTACTGTATAGTCTAAAGATTTATGTTTGCCATCACTGATTTCACTTTGAACTTGTAGTCTACAAACACCTTAAAGATAACATTTTATTTTAACATAATACATTTATTTTTCACTGAGGGTGATTTAGTCTTCAAAGAACTGAGCTCTGATAAGTAATTTTAAATGTATATCTGTTATGTCTTTCTGATACACATTTACCTTGTTAAAGCCTAACTCCAGCCAAAGCTTTTTCTTTTTTTTAAAGTCATGGGTAAGAGTCAGAACCTGTGTCAAGTTATTTTTGCTGTTTGTGTCCTTATTGGGGATATAATTCCGGGATAAGAAATTAGAGGGTGCAGGTGTTGATGTTGTCTCTGCCACCAAAGAGAGAGAGATCTTATCACTTAGGCCTGGTTCACACCTGGGCGTTTTGTAGCGCGTTCCTGCGCTCTGCAAAACGCTCAAACACCGAAATCCCATTATTTCCTATGGGTATGGTTCACACCTGGGCGTATTACAGGCCGTATGAACGTGCTACACGGTAAAAACGTGCGGCACGAAGCGCACGACAAACGCGAATATTCGATACGCCTAGGTGTGAACCCAGCCTTACAGTCCTTGTGACATAGCTGTCACTGGGACAGGAAATAAGGGTAAATCCCCCAATAAAAACAGCAGATGGCAATAAAACAATTTATATAGGACAAAGAAAAAAAGCTTATGGTATCAGCAACAAATAGTTTTGCAAAAACTTTATTAACATTTTCAGCATATATTATTTGTACCCTGTGGAAAGAAGATCACCTTATTAAAAACATTTAAATTAGGAAAAGGGCCAAACCTAGCAAAAGGTCCTTATATGCAATTTGTAATTAGGTGTGAAGATACTAGTCATGAGCAAAAATATGTCCTTTCTCAAAACAATGTCCCTGAGTGCTTGCCAGGGTAGGTGTCTTCAATAGATTTTAATTTCAGATGATCCACAAATGTTCTCAACACTAATCCTATAAGGGTGTGAACTGCCTTAGTTTCTCTTACTTTAATGGCAATAGCAAAGAGCCATATTCCAACAAGAAAATAACAGTTGTGATGAAGTAAGTTTTAGTTACTTGAAATATAGTAGAACATTCAAGGTTTGTGTGTGCGTGCCCCAGACTGGCAGACATTGAGTAAAATATCCCTCAGCACCAAAATATCCACTTGTAGCTGAAAACAGAAAACATATTTCTTCAAAATAGTGTCCATATAAATGTCCCCAAAACAGCATCTGCAGATGGAAGAGTGGATTGATATCATGCCCAGAATAACAGCTCAAGACTTGCTTGTTCTCATAGTATGGGAGTAAAGGTCATAATAGACGGTATGGTAGCCGTGCTACCATGTAAATATGGACAAATTAGGGGTCACAATCAATATTGGTATCTGCTTCCAAGAGTAAAAGCGGGCTCACATCCAAATCAGTGTTATCTAAGAACCCTAGATAGGGTAGCAATAATATTTCAAAGATCAGAATATATAAATGTACATCACCTGTTCAAATCACTCAAAGATGCTGTTTAAGCTGGGATTCAATAACTAGGCAAATGCCAAGCATGCCTCTGCGTGGACTAACATCCTGTTCAGGGATGAACCAGTGATGTGATATGTCAATCCTGAAGGATAAAGTCCATGCCACCTTAGAGCCAGCATGGCCCAGGGTAGCCGAAAAAACTAAAATTATCGAAAATGTAGAAATCCCTTAGTGTGGAAACTCACGTTGAGCGTTGGGAACTTACCACTTTGGTCCTTCAATAATAAGTTTGACTTGATTGAAGCTAACTGAAATCAGTGAGCCTCTGAGAATATGATTAACTCCAGTGGCAATGCAACATTGCTGTTGGCGGGACATTTCCTGGAGCAGAATTACCTAGGAGAGTCTTCTACTTATCCTTATGAAATAGCTGTCTTACCGGCCCACAATTCTGCCACATCTTCCTCATTAGTGAGGGAGCGACATCATGCTCCCTCAAGTCTGTTAGCAATACTGTCACTGGCAAGTTGTCGCTTGTGTGACATGGCCCTAGGTTCTCAAGCAACCTCAGAACTACTTTTATGCAGCCTAAAAAACAAAAAACCCCTAGCTCCTAAGCATACATGCCTCCATTTACAGCTTTCCCAGTTTCTTAAATGTGGGCCTAACAGCAGCTGCATGAGTAAATTCCTAACGTGTCACAATATGTAAGAAATATTCATTCTGTATTGTGTAAAATTGTATTTTTACTATAAAAAACAAACATTTTACATGAAGTTCAGAGAAATGGAGAATCACCAGCACTCAGAATTTTTTTTTTTTTAGATCTTGGTGATCATTTATTGATGTTACATGCATCAGAGAAGCCAATGTTTCGGGGCCGTGCAGGGTCACTATGTTGCCCTGAGGAAGGGACACTGCGTAGCCCCGAAACGTTGGCTTTTCTGATACATGTGACATCAATAAATGATCACCAAGATCTAGAACAACATTTTATGGTTGAAGCTGACAGCTTTTTCCTCCATAATACTAGGTGAGGCTCTGCCTCATCTGCCTCCCCTGACTGCACCTCCCTGACACAAATACTAAATGATCACTAAGGCTAAGTACACAAGGGCATACCATAGAATATCCAGTGCACATGCTACTCAGGCCTTCTCCTACCCTCACTGCCAATGCTTTCGTGCCTAGGCAGAAGACAAGTTATGCGGTGCTACATCCATGGCAAACATGACTTGAACGTTGATGCTAAGTGTATCTATGTTCTATGAATGCAGAACTGCGTACTGAGCTGTTTGGGGAAAAAGTACACTGTTTCCAAGCATGTGAAAAATGC